GGTTGATTGGGGTTTTTCTTGTACAGCTTGGGCAGGTCGGTATACGCACTCCACTTTCATACTTTCAATTATTTTCTTTTTTTCATTTTATAGTTTAATTTTTACCCCTTTGAGGTGTTTGGGTTGGCCCCTAAAGCTTTCTTGGGGGCCCCCGGGCACTTTTTTTCCAGAAACAAACACCGAAAAAAACTGGGAAAAATACGAAAATTCCCAGTGTATGCTTGGATGTTACCCCGGAGGTGGCTGGTAAAAAAAGGGGACGGCTGGGGACATGTGAGGTGGCCCGAGGGGCACAATTTGGGCGCGTCTCGGACGAAAAAACGGGGGAAGCGGGTTTTTAATCGGTAAAAGCGCGGCAAAAAAATTTTTCGATTTAAAAGTAATCGGTATGCGGAAAAAACGCTAGGGGATGCCATCGTTATGCGGGGGTCCCCCTGTACTTTGTTTTTTTACTTTAAATTTTAACTATAGATTCCCCTACAAATCTTATGATTACCCAAACATTGATCCTGGAAAACCAATTCTTTTTAATGAATTAAATGAATCAAACAGTTACTGTTAAAATTTTACACAAACAGAACAATCAAAGGCACTTCTCGTGCCCCCCAAAAAAACGTTTAAAAAGTCTTTAACTAAAAATATCGATCTTTTTTAAACAAAACATTAAAGATGAAACCTTTATAGCATTACTAAATTTTTCCTTTCTTTCCAAAATGTTCCCTCATTAAAACTAACTTAAACCCGGCCCAAGCCGATAGTGCAGATTTCATGCCATTCCTGGTTACACAGCCATTTCACAAAATGTAGGCCAGGGCCAAAAAAGGGGGTGGAAAGCAATAAACTACTCAGGGCCAAAAATAGAATGTTCCCAAAAAACTTGCACAAGGGATGAAAATGGGGAAATATTAATAAGCCAAATTCAAATCCAAAAAAACCCCACAAAAAAAATCTCACATTGGGTAAACATCTACAGAGGGTTTCCCCAGTCAAACATTTTGCCAAATTTTGTCAAAACCCCAGGAAGTATGATAACTGATGCACGCTGAACAAAGTCACTTTAAATTTTCTCTAGGTGGAAATTTTAATAAAAAATCTCCGCAAAACCAGGAACCCCACGGGGGCTGAATTCACAAACACAATGAGTAACTGTATGTTGTTTCCAAAAAAGTAACAAAAAACCCACAAAAAGTTTCAGAGACTAGTGTTTCCCTACTTTTACCCATTCTTTGGGCCAACCCATATCCCCTTTTAAAAACAGGCAAATTACAGTTTAAAAACCCCAGACCCCCTTCCCGGGGCTTTCCCCCATAACAACTCTTGGTAAATTACCCCCAAAGGGCAAACTAAAGTCACCTTCAGATTCACAATGAGGCAGCCATTAATTAAATTCCCACGCGAGAAAAAAATTGACTGGCACACTGAGGGTAGAAAAATTTTAAGATATTGGACGAAAGTTTAATTAAAATTTTTTAAAAAAAAAACCCAATTTCCTCTAAAAACAAGAAATGCCCTAAAAAAAAAATAAACAGATGCAGCTAAGAGAATAACAGTCCCCGGCTAAACCCGCTTTTTCAAATCCATTTAAAAACAAAACCCCCAATATGAAAAAAAAGTACAGAAAAGGGTCAATAACCCGGGGGGACCAAAAAAAAACGTTACCGTCAATCTAACCCGCCTGTTTAAAAAGGGCAAAAAAAAAATTTTATTATGAGAAAAAAGATTATCCAAAATTACGAAAGGGGGTTTTAAAAAAAAACCCGGGGAAAAAAATATCAGAAAAATTTTAGGGGAAAAAAAAAAATATCACGAAATAGCGAAAAAAATTAGGCAAAATTTTAGACGAACCCCCAACTCCCAAACCCAAAAAAAACAGCAAACAGAATCAATGATTTCTTCCCCCCTATAGGACAAAACCTTGCCAATAAAATCCCAAGCTCAGATACCCACCAAATGACTACCTCACCGGCAACTACCCGAACACCACTGTTCCTAGCTCCGACTAAACCCATACGAAGTCTCCTTATTATCAACACACTATAATAACAAGGCAGGAGATTTTAAATACCTTACCACCCTTTATTATACAAAAAAAGTGTCACAAGTGCTATCACCAATCATTGCAACAACTCTTTACAAATCCATTGAATCCTCCACCTTCCCTACAGTACTCAAAATAGCAAGGGTCACCCCGATCCACAAAGGAGGAGACAAACAGAGTTGAATAACTATAGGCCAATATCCAACTTACACCCTCTCTCAAAAATCTTCGAAAAATTAATTCATAAACGAATCTACTCCTACCTTATCTCCCAAAACATACTCAACCCTGCCAATTTGGATTCAGGCCTAATAAAAATACTAATGATGCTATTATACACATGCTAGAACATATATACACTGCAATAGAGAAAAAAGAAGTCCCACTGGGGATCTTCATTGACTTACGTAAAGCTTTTGATACAGTTGACCATGACTTGCTCCACGTAAAATTGTCACACTATGGTATAAGAGGGCACTCCTCAATACCTCAAGTCATACCTCAGCAACAGAAGCCAATTGTGTATGCAAATGGGGCAAACTCCTCTGCAAACCAATTACAGTTGGTGTCCCACAGGGAAGTGTCCTTGCCTCTCTCTCTTTCTCCTATACATAAATGACCTACCAAATGCTTCGCAATTACTCAAACCACACTATTTGCAGATGACACTACATACGTCTTTCCCACCCGAGCCCAGTCACGCTAGCCAATACTGTAAATACCGAATTACAAAAATAATCTACCTGGATGAGAACTAACAAACTTACACTAAACATTGACAAAACCTACTTCATTCAGTTTGGTAACAGAGCTACAGATGTCCCTCTTAACATAATGATAAACGGATCCCCTATCACAAAGCTAACAGAGGGAAAATTTAGGAATCCACCTTGAAAATAGACTCAAATTTCATACACATATACAACAAATTTCTAAGAAAATTTCCCAAGACTGTAGGCATACTATCGAAGATACGGTACTATGTTCCAAGTCAGCCCTTTGGCCCTATATCACTCTCTTATTTCCCCCTATCTTACACCTATGGAATTTGTGCATGGGGCTCAACAACAAGAAACCCATCTCAGACCACTAATTCCCCAACAAAAGGCTGCAGTTGAATGATAACAATTCTCACTATAGGCAGCACACTCCCCCAAATATTAAATTACACTAAACCTCCTCACCATACAAAACATCCATACTTACTACTGCACCTATTACATAAAATAGAACACTTAACTCTGATATTAACCTCCCTCAAAATTCTCCTTGCCAACCTAAACAGAACACAGGGACCATAACACAAGGCACAGATCACTCTTTGATGTTCCTCGTGTCCATTCACACTATGTAAAAACTCAATGACATAAAAGGCCCTAAAATCTGGAATTCATTACCTGTAAATATAAAAAAAACATACCCGTTTATAATTCAAGTCTCTTCTCAAAGATCATTACTCACCCAAAACCAAATAAATATGAATAACTGAACCTTTAAATTTTATACTTAAATGTTTCTCACAATTATATCACATAAAGTTAAAACCCAAAACCCCAAATTTAAATTTTTATTTTTTAAATAATACCTAAAAGAATACCCATTCTACTGAATGTAAACAATGCATCAACCATTGACCTGTCTTTGTAATATCATTGTGCTTTATAGTAACCCGTTTACATTAATGTTTTATCACTGATTTCATCATTGCTTAGTTAATCTTAAGTTAATTTTAAGCCAGCCCGTAATGCTATGCATAGTATAAGTGGCTTTGGCATACTGCTCTTACCTGTTTTTGTTGTACCTCTGTATGTGTGCTCAAATTTTTAAATAAATAAATAAATAAATAAATTGTGTTGTTAGGTAAGACACATATGCAACAGTTAGGTATCTTTATTTCGAAATGTTTCGCCTACACAGTAGGCTTCTTCAGTCGAGTACAGAAAAGTTGACAGAAGCAGAAGAGACTTGAAGACGATGTTGGGAGGTCAGGTCCCTCTCAAATCCAGCCGTTCTCACTAGTAGAGGTTGTTCGACAACCTCTACTAGTGAGAACGGCTGGATTTGAGAGGGACCTGACCTCCCAACATCTGCGTTCTACTAGTGACCTACGTCTCACCTCCTGGCGCTATATAAGGCTCCATCCTGTCACTTCAAGTCCATATTGTTTCAGACTATGGAACAATACTCTTCTCCAGACTGAGGGACTGACCACCTCAAAACTTTAAGGGTGATGGACTGATTACATCGTCTTCAAGTATCTTCTGCTTCTATCAACTTTTCTGTACTCAACTGAAGAAGCCTACTGTGTAGGCGAAATGTTTCGAAATAAAGATACCTAACTGTTGCATATGTGTCTTACCTAACAACCTGTCGGTATTTTATACCATTTTAATGTTCACCTTTTATTGTACAGCAATAAAGGAATGGAACAGATTACCTGCATGTCAAAGCCAGTCATAGCATGAGCCAGTTCAGGAAGAGTGTCCAAAAGGTGCCTAGTGAATGAAGTGACAGAAAGGGAGGAGAATTTTTTATTTTTTTAGCTAACACTCATGTAAATATAAAAAACTTATTTTACCTTATTCCAAATATATCCCTAAGTATATAATAAGATATTATCTCTTTATAATAAATAAGTATTATTCCTTATAGTATAATAATAAGATATTATCTCCTTTATAGTAATATAAGAATATCTTATGTATATAATAAGATATTATCTCCTTTATAGTATAATAATAAGGTATTAAAAGGACCCCAATGGAAATAAGTCAGTCTGAATTTTTTTGGGTTATCCAAGATGGTTCTCTACACACATGCTGCTATGTATGATAATCTATGTAACTGTATTTGCGTATACCTGAATAAACTTACTTAGTAATCACGGGAAAATGTATCTAATTTGGGTTGCAATGTGTTACTGAAGGTTAGCGTACTTCACTGCACAGCTTTGTGTACTCACCATAGTGTTTTGTGTGTGACTGATGTGTAGGGCAGTGCTGTGTACCCCGTGGGCACTCATGGCAGGCTACAGTTATGCCTACACCCATAACTGTGTAGGCTGGGAGAAATGTTATAGTCACTGTGTGTAACTCTAACTTAGCTTAAATACGTACAAGTAGTGTATAATACATTAGCCTATGGAGGCTTCATTATAAATTTATTAGTCTTATAAATTAAGAGTGTATGAAGAATGTGGCACATCCCCCTGAGTAGGCATAGGTGGGGCTGCTCATCCCCCTGAGTAGGCATAGGTGGGGCTGCTCATCCCCCTGAGTAGGCATAGGTGGGGCTGCTCATCCCCCTGAGTAGGCATAGGTGGGGCTGCTCATCCCCCTGAGTAGGCATAGGTGGGGCTGCTCATTCCCCTGAGTAGGCATAGGTGGGGCTGCTCATCCCCCTGAGTAGGCATAGGTGGGGCTGCTCATCCCCCTGAGTAGGCATAGGTGGGGCTGCTCATCCCCCCTCCTTCCCCCAACTTAGGGAGGTTTAACTGTCTGGAAGATTTGAAATTTTCAACAAGGAACCTAACCTTATTTTCCTCATAAGGTCTTCAGTTAATTTTTCACGATTTCATCACACTCAATTCTCAGGAATTACTACTACTAATAATGACAGGAATAATAATAATAATATTAGTAATAATCTCCATGGGGAAGTGGAACAGAATTCTTCTTCCGTAAGCCATGCGTATCGTAAGAGGCGACTAAAATGCCGGGAGCAAGGGGCTAGTAACCCCTTCTCCTGTATACATTATTAAATTTAAAAGGAGAAACTTTCGTTTTTCCTTTTGGGCCACCCTGCCTCGGTGGGATACGGCTGGTACATTGAAAGAAAGATTAGTAATAATAAAAATAATAATAGGAATAATAATAGTAATAATAATAGCAATAATAATAGCAATAATAATAGCAATAATAATAGCAATAATAATAATGGTAAAAACAGTAATAATAATAATGATAATCACCTTGTACGCCGTGTAGGAGGGTGCCGACACCTTCACGGTAGAGCTCTAGTGCCTGGTCGTAGTCCCGGTTGAGCTCGTGTTCCTGAGCCTGATTGATCTGACGTGCTGCTACGAATATGTAGCGTGTGGAGTGCGCCTCATGCACACTTGGTGCACGGTGCACGGGCAGCGCTGGGGTCACCGTCGTGCTCAGTGGGGTCAGCGGAGTCAGTGGCGCCGAGTTCTTGCGACTGATGGTGTCATGGGGGGTTATTTCCAGTGGGGGTGTTGGTCGGGTGGTGTGCCGTACCCGTGTGGGCAGCGGGCGGTTGTCTGTGCTGGGGCATGGTGCTTGTAGGGGTCCCACATTGTTTTTACCACTGGGAAACCACTGGGGGTCCTCACTGGGGTCGCCAGTCGAACTGGCAGCTTGACCGGCAACCCCACTGCTCCTGCCTTGACCGGTAACCCCGCTGCTCCTGTCTCCCCAGTTTGTAACCGGGTCAGTCGTCGCATCATCATCAATGATGCCATTCACCAGTGAGGCACCCAGGATGCCATCAATGTCTATTGGCGCTTCTACTGCTGCTCCATTGGCCGTTCTGTTGGCTGATCCATCGGGCAATGTACTATCGGGTGACGTTCTATTGGGGGAGGTACTGGACAATGTTCTAATGGGTGATGTTCTATTGGGAGATGTTCTACTGGGGGACGTTCTACTGGGCGATCTACTGGGTGATGGTTACTGGGCGTTTCCCTATTGGGCGACGTTCTATTGGGAAATCTAATGGCGTCCTTCTGCTGGTGATGTTCATCAATGGCTGTTTCTGCGACCGCTGTGTCCGAACTTGCGTGATGCTCACTGAGCAACTGACCTGTCACCAGGCACCCAGGCTGGCGTCGACGAAGACAAGGCATCGACGCCATGATGTCCCCAGCGTCGTCAGCTGTGAATAGAGCGATGATGACTTTGTATCCCAGCGACGACGCCAGAGACTCAGACGCCTTGGATCTGAAGGAAATTGACAGCAATTTATATATTAGTCTACCACCACAACCTGGATGGCTGTTGTCTACCAGTATACCACAACCTGGATGGTTGCTGTTGACCAGTCTACTAACCTGGATGGTTACTTACCAGTCTACTACTACAACCTGGATGGTTGTTGTCTACCAGTATACAAACCTGGATGTTTGTTGTCTACCAGTCTACTAACCTGGATGCTTCCTGTCTACCAGTCTACTACCACAACCTGGATGACTGTCTACCAGTCTACTAACTGTGATTGTTGTCCTACCAGTCTACACAACTTGGATGGTTTGTCTACTAGTCTACTACTGCAACCTGGATGGTTATTGTCTACCAGTCTACTACCACAACCTGGATGACTGTTATCTACCAGTCTGCTAACACAACCAGGATGGTTGCTGTCTACCAGTCTGCTACCACAACCTGGATGGTTGTTGTCTACCAGTCTGCTACCACAACCTGGATGGTTGTTGTCTACCAGTCTGCTACCACAACCTCGATGGTTGTTGTCTACCAGTCTGCTACCACGACCTCGATGGTTGTTGTCTACCAGTCTGCTACCACAACCTGGATATACCTTTGATGAGTTTTAAGAGTCTCACTATGGGAGCCCGGCCATGAGCCAGGCTCATCTGGTGCTTGCCTGGTCAACCAGGCTGTTGCTACTGTAGGCCCACTGCCCCACATATCCATCACAGCCTGGTTGATCTGCCACCTGGTGAAGATACTTGTCCAGTTTCCTCTTGAAGACTTGTACACTTGTTCCAGCAGCGTTTCTGATATCTTCTGGTAATGTGTTGAATAGTCTGGGCCCCCTGATGTTGATACAGTGCTCCCTTATTGTCCCCACCCACCTCTGCTCCTCACTGGGTTTATTTTTGGGTGTTTCCCCCCATATCTCTCTCTCCAGTATGTTTGTTAGGCAGTGTGAAAAATTTGGGTCCAACCCCCTCAAAGTACTTTCCGGGAGTATAAAATTTTTAAATGTAAAAACAAAGGAAAACATGATAACTGACTTAGAGGTGAAAAAAAACACCATCTGATACCACAGTACTTCAACATAAACATCATCCAAAAACCCCCAAACCAAAAGAATAAATTTCACAAACATTTAGACAGCTCCCTTACTTCTGCCCAACAATAAAAAAACCCATACAAAATTTTCCAGACAAATCCCATTTTTATAGACCATATCTGGACAAAACACTGTATTTTTTCCCCCAATTAAAAAGGCGGGTTATAACAAACAAACCATTTATCCCCCCCTTTTTCTTAAAACCCAACTTATGTAAATTACCTCAGGAGCAATTTAAGGGATCACCTTCCGAAACGAACGAGTCATCGGTCAATGTTTTTTTAAAGTTTTAAAAAACACTAAACGGAAAAACGAGCTAGAATTCAACCTCGATTTGATAAATTTTTTTTAAAAATTTTTTTACAAAAACCCAAAATCTCTATAACAAGCTTTTTGCCCAATAAAAAGTTAGCAGATCAAAATGAGACTAAAAACAGCCCCTTTGGTTTAAAAACAGCATCCTAAAATTCTTTTGATAAAAAAATCTATAGGGGAAAAAAAACAGTATAAAATGAATCCAATAACACATGTTTTGGCAAAATTTTACTCGTCAATACTAATCAAAATAAAGGGGGTCAAAAAAATTTGTTTACGAAAAAGTTTTTCAAGACATAAAAGGTATATGAAAAAGACCGGGAAACCCCCTTATTGAAATTTGGGATCTAAAAAACGTCACAAAACAAAAATTTGATTAACTTAAAAAAAACCAGAACAAAACCTCCCCTTCACCAACGATACTCCCCAACAAACTTAATGTCTTTTTTTTGACCAGGGGGGGAACAAAATAACAAGCAAAAAAACCCAAACTCAGACTTTTCAACCAAAAGACTACCTCACTGGAAACAAACCCAAAAACGTGGCCCCCCGGTTTTCAAAAATTATTTCTTTTCCGGGAAGAAATTTTTCCCGGTGCCAGTACTGACCGAATTTTTTTTCCCATAAGGGAAAATATTGGGGAATTAGAAAAAGTCCATTTCAAAAAAACCCCCAAAACTTTAACACATAAAAGTACTTAAAAAAAATTTCACTTAAAAAATTGGTCCCCTTGGGGAGGGATGATGTAAACCGGGGGTCCACTGTACTTAGAAAAAAAAACCCCCAACAAACCCTATGAAATCTCATCATGTTCAAAACCTAAAGAAAAAAGGGCCCACCCAACCTAAATAACTTACCATCACTCAATTTTAAAAAAGTTAAACATGTTTTGTCCCCTTTAAATCGCAACTTTTTTTAAAACAAATCCACTAAATCATCCCCCTTCCCATCCTACCCCAAGACAGCAAGAGCCCACCCCGATCCTCAAAGGAAAGGTGTTTTCCAAATGAAAATTTAAACAATTTAAACCCCCCGCGTAAAAAGAATGGTATAAAAATACCGCAAGAAAAATTTGGGAACCCCCCCTTCCCCTTTTTCCTGGGAACCCCTTTTTATTGTAAAGGTTTTTTTGGGCCCCGGCCCATCCATGGCTTTTAATACCCCAAAAAAACCCCCCGTTTTTCCCCTTTAAAGATACCCAATGTTGCACATGTGTCTCAATTTCAACTATGGGGCCCTTTATAAAACTTGCCCTACTATTAAAATCTTAAAAAAAAATTAATTCAAAACAAGTCAATTTTTTTATTTAAAGTATCCCACAAAAATATTAAACCCTTGTCTTTTGGGGTTCAGACAGAAAAAAGGTTTTTAATGAGGGGAAATTTATATATATGCTTCAAGTAAAAAAATTTTTTTTTTTGCACAAGAAAAAATGAATTTTTCCCTGGATTTTTAAAAGACTTACAAAAAGTTTTTTATACAGTTGACCTTGCCCTGTTGCACAAAAACTTGAACTTTAGGGGGGTCAAGGACACCCCATTACCTAAAATCAATCTTAGCAAAGAACCCAGTTTGTATCCACAAAGGGACTAATCCATACACAACCTTTTCTTTTTGGATTCCCCCGGGGTATTTTTTCTTGTTGGGGGTCCCCCGGGTTTAGGGGTTTTTTGTTGGACCCCCCGCGGGTGTGTTCTTTTTTGGATTCCCGCGGGGTAGTGTTTTTTGTTGGGAAGCCCCGAGGGTAGTGTTCTTGTTGGAGCCCGAAAGGGTATGTTCTTTTTTGGAGTCCCGCGGGGGTAGTTTTCTTTTTGGGAAAGCCCCGCGGGGTAGTGTTCTTTTTGGAGTCCCGCAGGTTTTAAGGTTTTTCGGGGGGGGCCCCCCAAAGGGTAGTGTTCGTTTGGGTCCCCGCAGGGTATTGTTCTTTTTGGGGAGTCCCGCGGGGGAAAGTTTTCTTTTTGGAGTCCCGAAAGGGTATGTTCTTTTTGGAGTCCCGCAGGTATGTTTTAGTTGGGGTCCCCGCGGGGGTAGTGTTCTTTTTGGGGAGTCCCGCGGGTAGTTTTTTCTTTTTTAAATTCCCCAGGGTAGTGTTTTTTGGTTGGGGGCCCCGCAGGGTAGGTTTTTGGCCCACTTCTTTTTTCTCTTTACATCAATGACCCCCCAAAATGCATTTAATCCCCTTAAAACTCATTTTTAATTTGCAAAGGGCACAACTTATGTTTATCTCACCCAAACCCAAACCCAAATATAACTAAAAACCCCCCCCACCTAAATACTGAACTACTAAAAATTTTTTCTCAAAATGCCCTTTCCAACAAACTTTACTCTCAATATAGACAAAATATTTTCATGCTTTTTGGACACAGAGTTTTTAAAGTGTACACCCAAAAACAAATTGATAAAATGGTTCACCCTTTTTCAAAACACAGAAGGCAAATTTCTGGGGGTCTCCCCCTTTAAAATTTGCAGCCTCAAGTTTCGGGACATACAGAAAAATTTCCAAAAGTCCCCAAAACAAGGGGCATACTACCCAAGACATGGTATTTTGTATGCCACAGCTCTTCTTGCTCTGTACCACTTTTCTCATTTCCCTTACCTTTATCTATGGGATTTGCGCAAATCACCTTAAACGTTTAACAACCCCAAAAAAAAAGCGCAGTTGGGGAAAGATTACCAAATCCTGCACTAGACCAAAACACTCCACAGTTGGTTTAAGAGGGCTTTAAAAAACTTAATATATCTTGCTGTCAATTTTGTCAAGGTTGGGGAAACCCAAAACAATCATAGTACTAGGGGGAGAGAGCAAAAACCTTTTTTAGTACCCACAGTCAGGGCCACTTTAAAAACCCTTTTTTTTTGTACAGCAATAAAGGAATGGAAAAGACTACCCACAAAAGTCAAAGGGCCCTCATAGCTTGAACCAGTTCAAAAAGAATGCCAAAAAATGTTTTGATGAATGAAGAACAGGGAAAAGGGGGGGGAATTTTTTTCTATTTTTTAGCTAAAAGTCGTGTAAATTTTTTCCCTTATCCCTAAATGCCCCTCGTTTTGTAGTACGTAATGACCCTCGGGTATAATAGTCTTAAGCCCCCTCGTATTGTAGATACGTAATGACCCCGGGGTGAATATCTTTTAGTAGATAAAAGTTGTTTTCTTCATTAAATAAATAAAAAAAAAATTTTTAAAACCTTTATATTAATAATAAGGTAAAAGACCCCAATGGAATAAGTCACTCTGTCTGACTTTTTGGGTTATCCCAGTCTCTACACAAAGGGCTGCTATGTATAAATTTCTTGAAACTGTATTGTGTATACCGAATAAATTATTTAACTTTACTTACATCTACTTAATATATAAAACATCCACACTTATTGAAACCTACCACAACACAAGACATAACATAAATATAAACCCCCCTTTAAAAAACCCTCCTCCTTGATAACAAAACAACACACAAGTAAATACAAACACAAATCACTCTTTGATATCCCTGTGCCCACCTCCCAGGCAAAAAGCTACGCACGTAAAGGGCCCGAAGATCGAATTCACTCCCATAAACCTAAAGAACCTCTGTCTGCAAATCAGTTTAAGG